CATAATATATGAAATGACAAGAAAACACACAAACAAAATAAAATCAGCAAGGAAAATTATGTTGAACAAAGACAGTAACAGCACCACAAAAAAATCATGTACAACATGCAAACAGCAAGATGACATCAATCTATCAATTGTTATTGTTTTTCAGTGCCATGAAGTTGGTTTCAACTCATATTGACTCTGAATAGGATTTCCAAGTAGTGGCTGGTGAGTGTGAACTATTAATCTTGCAGTTCAAACTGATCTTGCCATTCAGTGCTTATCCTACATTGCCATACCAAGACTCCAATCTCTTTATACCTACTTTGAGTCCTGGTGTATCACTTCAGGATAATGTACTAGACTGCAACATCAGTTTGAACCATAAGGTCGGTGATTCAAACTCACCAATCAATCCATAGAAACCATACACAGGGTTATTATTTGGAACTGACTCGATGGCTCTTAAAACAATGACAACAAATAATTATACTGAACATCAGTAGATTAATGAACCAGTCCAGAGACAGAAACAGGACACATAAGAAAAGAGGATCCTTCAATAGTCTGTCAAAAAGGGACACATCATACACACAAAGACAAAGCTAGAGTAATAATCAAAAGATGCACAAAAATATGCCGAACTAACAGCAATCAGAAACAGGCAGGAATGGCCATATTAACTTCTGATAAAAGGACTTTACGGCAAAAGCCAACAGAAGAGATAAAGAAGGATATTTTTTCCATGATTAGAGGGTCAATTGAAGAAGAAGAAATAACCATAATAAATATTTATCCTCACAATGAAAATACCTCAAAATACATATATCCAACTCTAAGAAAATTGAAGAAATACATATATCCAACTCTAAGAAAATTGAAGAAAGTGCCAACTCTAGAATAATAGTTACTATTATTGACTAACAAAAGCATTCTAACAAAATACAGTAATAATAGGAGATTTTAATATCCTACTTTCAATGAGAGACACAATAACTAGAAAGAAACTCAACAAAGACACTGAAGAACTAAACAACAACACCAACCAACATGGCTTCTTAGACTTATAGGGAGCACTTAAACCAACAATGGTAGTGGCGGTGTGCCACTGAGTCAGTTCTGCCTTATCTGCATAGGGTTTCTGAGGCTGTAAGTCTTTATCGGAGCAGAAAACTTCATCTTGTTCCTGTGGAACAGCTAGTAGTTTTGAACTGCTGACCTTGTGGTTAGCATCCCGAGTCATAACTACTACTCTACCAAGGCTCCTTTAAACCAACAATACAACATTCTTTTCCAGGGCACACGGAACATTCTCCAGAATAGACCACATGTTAGGCCACAATGTAATCTTTAAGAAATTTAAAAGCTTTGAAACACTAGAAAGCATCTTTTCAGATCACAATGCTATAAAATTAGAAATCAGCAATAGGATGAACAAGCAAAAGAAAATTAAATACATGAAAATCGACAAACACCCTGCATAAAAGCTACAGAATAATAGAAGAAATAAAATGTGGGGAAAAAAAATCCTTGGATTAAACAAGAATGAAAATATCAAAATCCTTGGGACACAGCAAAAACAGTGTGTAAAGAGCAATGTATAGCAAAAAAAAAAAAAAAATGCAGATGTACAAAAAAGAAGAAAGAACCAAAATCAACACAGTATGCAAATTTCCAATAATCAGAAAAAGAGTAGCAAAGTAAGCCTATTGCTACAAGAAGAAAAGAAAAAATAAGATTAGGGCAGAAATAAAGAGACAGGAAATAGAATAACAATGGAAAGAATCAAGAAAGGAAAAAGTTGGTAATTTGAAAGACTTAATGAAATCAACAAACCATTGGCAAATCTAACAAAAAACAATAAGGAGAAGATACAAAAAACATGAATAAGAAATGGTATGGTTGACCTCACAACAGAACCAACAGAAATGAAAGTCATAATCACAGAATACTATGAAAAATTGTACTCCAACAAATTTGAAATTCTAGAGGAAATGAACAAACTTTTAGAAAAAAACATGACCTACCTAAACCAACATAGACCGAAGTATGAAACTTGAACCGACCTTTAACAAAAGAAATTTATCAGATCACTTTAAAACTACACACACACAAAAAGTGCAATCACAGAAGGTTTTACTAATGAATTCTACCAAACATTAATAAAGGAACTGACACCAACTCTATTCAAGCTATTCCAGAACATAGAAAAGCACGGAAAACTTGCAAAAACATTTCCCAAAGTGAGCATAACCCCCATACCCCAAACAGGCAAAGACTATAATAAAAAACAAAATGATAGGTCAATATCCTTCATGAATATAGATGTAAAAATTCCCAACAAAATCCTAAGCAATAGAATTTAACAATATATCAAGAGACTTACAAAAATAGAAGAATATACTGTGCACATGGATAGGAAGACTTAATGTTGTGAAAATGTCAACATTACCCAAAGCAATCTTTAGATATAATGCAATTCCAATCTAGATTCTAATGCTATTCTTTAAAGAGATGGAAAAACTGATTACTAACTTTATATGGAATGGAAATTCAAGACCTTGAATAAGCAAAGCATTTGTTAAAAATAATAAAGTTGTACGTTTGATCTCAAAATCTACTACACAGCCACTTTGGTCAAAAAAGCCTAGGACTGGTAGAATGAGATGCATAGATCAATGGAACATAATTGAATACCCAGAAGTAAATTCATCCACATATAATCAACTAATCTTTGACAAAGGGCCCAAACACATTAAATTGGGAAAAGATCATCTTTTCAATAAATGGTGCTGGCAAAACTGGAAATCCATTTGCAGAAAAATGAAGCAAGACCCATGTCTCATAACATATGCAAAAATAAATAAACAAGCCTAAATGTAAAACCTACAACTATAAAGATTACCAATGAAAAAACAGCAGCAAACTTAAGGTCTCTGATGCATGGTATCAACACACTATCAAACATAACTAAAAATATACAAACAGCAGAAGACAAAACAGATGACTAGGACCTCCTGAAAATTAGACACTTATATACATGAAAATATTTCACCAAAAGAGTAAAAAGTGAGCCCACAGACTGGGGAAAATTTTTGCAATGGCACATCAGACAAGGGACTGATTTATAAAACTTATAGAAAATGACAATACCTTAACAACAAAAAAGGACAAATAGACCAAATGAAAAAATGGGAGGACAACAGCACTAGTGAGGTATGGTCACATGGAACGATCAACAACAACTTAAGCTCCAAAGAGCAGCATTTACATGTGGACAAGGTTCAGAGGGGTTGGGAAAGAGTGTGAAATGAAAATAGGAACCACATGAGGAAGTGTGATCACTGTTATTTAGAAGTGGAAAGGAATTGCAATCATTGATATGAAAAAAAGTACATTATTTGTTTGATGTAAAACAGATGATCTGCTCTTGTAAACCTTCACTCAATTCACAATAAACTGGGTGTTTTAAAAGCAGACATAAGACAAAAATAAACATAGGTCATCTAGGTGTAATCATAAACATCATGATTTCTTTACAAAGTTTTATCTCCATGTGGTGACCTTTTACCATGACCACACACTGATGGTAGCAACCATGGGTCACATATTCACCCTAGTTTTACAGAAAGCAGGTTGTTGTTGTTGTTGTTGTTGTTGTTGTTAAGTGTGGTGGAGTCAGTGCCGACTCATAGTGACCCTACACATGGTTTCCAAGGCTGTAAATCTTTACCGAAGCAGAAAACCTCATCTTTCTCCCACAGAGGGGCTGGTAGTTTCGAACTGCTGACCTTAAGGTTAGCAGCCTGATTCATAACCACTACACTACCAGAGCTCCTTACAGAAAGCAGGTACAGGACTATTTATTGTAAATAGGAAAGCTTACAGTCTGAGGCTTTCGATATATGACATCACAACTAGGCAAACGTGTGTCTCCAGGAATGCTTCTTTGAGGGCTGGTTGTGCGATGTGGTCTCAAACCTTTAAATATACAATTTCTAACTCTGGTAGTTGCAATGTCAGAAGTGCAAGACATACCCAAGAAAAATTGGCATCTGAACACTTAAACTTAAGCACAAGGTGGAATGAAACCACGCTAGGCTAGAGTCGGTCACAGGCAAACAGCCTTAAGATTTTATGTTCTACAGCACTTGTTAATTACTTATTAATGTGACTATCATACTAGACATATAAACATTCAAATGAACCATGTTTTTATTACCTTTTCTATACTCAATATCTAGTTTAATATTTTGTTTCAGCTAAGAGTTCAAATAGTATTTCAATGATAACATGTATAAGATGATGGCATTACTGCTATCCATGCCATACTTAAGAAATCACTTAATGCCTTGTTATATTATTGCTTCCTCCTGCTTGTTCGTTTGTTTGTTTTTGTTTTAAAATAACTGCCTGATAAGAATAAGTAAAACTATAGCTTTAAACACTCTCAAATACCCAAAAAAGGTACTGAAGACATCTGAGGTATTGTTATCAGAGCCCAGTATGTATTTTACAATTGCACAAGTGAGTCAATTCTTAGAAACAGAAAAAAAAAAAAAAAAAATTTATTTCCATAAAATCGTATGACACTATAGGATAAGCACTGGACTGTGAAGGTCAGCAGTTCAAACCCATCTGCAACTCCTTGGAAACACTATTAATGGCCCTTAAATGACAACAACAAAGCACTAAACATTGCTAAATGTTAACATCAACCTATAGGACACATGGTGTACGCAAAAACCTGTTTCTTTGATATGCACCTTAAAATACTTCTCTTCATACACCAAGAAATTTAGGACTTTAAAACAATTTAAACACAGGTTCCAAAAGAATTGTATCTGTTCCAAAATTAGTTTCAGAGCTGATAACCAATCTGAAATTTTAATTCAATCAACCTTTTCTCTCTAACTGTGTAAGAGTCATATACATTCTGGATTCTCACTTGTCTTCTTTTTGAAATGGTTCTGACCATTCCTTGGCTGTTCCCTTGTCCCTTCCCCATTTATTACCTGAATCCATGGCCATCTGTCATTTTCTGCAGCCGTCCAAGCATTGATAAGTCCCTTTTTATTAAGACGTGCATAGTAGGGATACCACTTTTGGAGTCCAAAAAGAGCTCGATGTGTAGATGAAGCTGTGATTTGTTGATTCGATATGATTCCACCTTCAATTCCCAATGGGCCTGAGCATTCTAGGAATAAATTAATGGGGGACATATTGAGTGTATTGGAAATAATTCATATTGTGAATGTAGCTATTTGATTTATGGCTATTAGAGTTAGATAACACCTAAGATTATTTTAATATAAAATATAATAATTTACCAGAATTTCTGATAATACAAGTGGAGTATACAAGTATTACTAAATGTTTGTTGTTGTTGTTAAGTGCCATCGAGTCGGTTCCGACCCATAGCGACCCTGTACAGGGTTTCCGAGGGTGTAAATCTTTACGGGAGTAGAAAGCCTCATCGTTCTCCCGCGGAGCGGCTGGTAGTTTCGAACCGCTGACCTTAAGGTTCGCAGTCTGATTCGTAACCACTACACTACCAGAGCTCCTTATTATTAATGTTAGTGTATATAAATAAGTACAGGGGGTCAGTGATTGCATCAGAGGAAACACATTTTGGTTTTATATATTATTGAAGTCTAGCATTTATCAATACATTTTTATGCTGAGGTTGAGGTTGATATTATGAAAGAAAGAATTCTGGAACTGACTTATAACATTTTTAAAAAGTGAGGAAGTTGTATTTTATTCACAATCATATTTTTTTCATTAAGACAAATATGACTGTTTGTTTAAGCCATAAACATTAATTCATAAACTTTTTCCTGTTCATACTAAGACAATAAGTAGTTCTGCACGTAGTACTAACATTCCTCAATGGCTTTAAAACTTGCAAATTTTTTTTTAAAAGACTAAATATACAGGTGAGTAATCATTTCAATCATATTTTTAAGATGAACTTACTTCAGCAAAAATTTAACTTTCCCAATTGACAATTAATAAATAATTCATCTGATAAGTTAAATCTAGACAATATATTTACCATGTAATTATAACTGTTTAATAATTTATAAGTCAATGGATTAAGAAGCAATTAATTTTCTGAATTGCATTACTACTAATTCTGTAAATAATTTTGATTTTCACATCATAAAAAAATTACTGTTGAAAAACCAAATGTTAATACTTTGGATCATTGTTTTGCTTTCTATTTTAAACTTCAAAATTTTCACAGGCTTCATAAAAATGTTAAGAATCTTTCATGATGACATTCTGTCTGATAATAATAAGTGTGGTGGTGGTAGTGGTGGTGGTTGTATGTTGTGGAATAGGTTCCAACTCAAAGCAAACCTGTATAGGGTTTCTGAGGCAATCTTACTCCCTCTGAATGGCTGGTAGTTTCGAACTGCTAACCTTGAGGCTAGAAGCCCAACTTGTAACCACTATAACACCAGCGCTCCTTTTAAACAAATGTAGGATTATGGATTATTAAGTATATTATCAATAAAAGAGTCTCTAGGATACTTTTCCTTGATTGAACGAATATTTGGGTGACAAAATGGAGCCAGTAAGGAACCATTACTTGTAGGTCATCTGTTGTGGGCCAGTAAGTAGACTGGCAGAGCTAGAAAGCCAGCTTTGATTAATTAAACTAAATGATAGCCTTAGAAAGAACACAGATCAATGTAGTGTGCTTCTCAAGACCTTTTGGTGAACGGGATATCCTCTCAGAATTTACAACAATTTTAGACAAGAAGTGATGTCTCAAATAAGCCTGTTTCACAAGTACTCTTAACCTCCTTATTAGCTAATATACCAGAAACATAATGGCTATGAACTACTGAATTATGTAAGTCAAGTACCAAAAAGAACATTTTGAAATATATTTACATATTTTGCTATGAGGCTAATCTGAAGGCTCAGAATTTTCATCATGTCCTCATCAATCAAATACAATGATTCATTTATTCAAAGAAAAACAACAAAAATTCAAAAAAAAAAAAATATATATATATATTGGTACACTCCCTATATATTTTTAGCCTACTGACAGAACTTTACAGTTTACTAAATATTTTCATGGAAGTTAGCTTAATGCTGTGATGTCAGTATCACAAAAACTTTTTTCCCAATCCTCAATTCCAAGTATGTTTTCAAATTAATTTTTACAATAATCATTTATATACTATATACTGCCAGTCAGAAAAGACCACCAGAGGCAGTCCTAGTGTGGGGCTGTAGGATAAGCACTGGACTGTTAACTGCAAGATTAGAGATTCAAGCCCAACTGTCACTCCTCAGAAACCCTACACAGGGTCGCTATGAGACAAGCATGCATCTATCTATCAATTATCAGTTTACTTTCTAATTCGTAAGTTTGCATCAATTATAAAATTGGGTTTTAGACAAGGAAATAAAGGAGTCTCTGTATATTCAGGTGAGGTACTTGATTACAAACCAAAAGGTGGTTCAAATTCAGAAGAGTGTTGGAAGAAAAGCCAAGGGCTATGCTTCAGAACTATCACAGCCTTACACGCTCAATGGAGTAGTTTTGCTCTGCACACCCTGGGTTGCTAGGGGATGGAATTGATTCAATGCCAATTGCTTTGGTTTTGGTTTTTGAGGTAATAAAATGTAAATGAGTGTTTTACCCTTGTAACTTTGAATTGTTAAAAAATGAGTCTAGTTCTACATGCTTGCATGCTTCTCTTTGTTGTTGTTAAATGCCCTTGAGTCATTTCTGACTCATAGTAGCTCAGGGTTTCCAAGACTGACTGGTGGGTTTGAGCCAATGATCTTGTGGTTAGCAGTCCAGTGCTTACCCAGCAGCACCACACTAGGACCCCATGGTTGTATTCAGAGGATCCTAATGGAGACAGTAATCCTTGCTAATTTTTAGGCCCTTTGGAGCAGATTTTGGGTCTTTTCACTGCTGCATCCTTAGAGGCTCACAGTAGCTTGTACACAGGAAAAGCTCAATTAATATGTGTGAATGGATTTTTTTTTTTTGTAAACAGTAAACTAATAAGTAATTTGAGCCTTATACTTAATCTCACACTAGAAAGTTGCCCCAACAGTAGCTTTCCTTCACTAGTCATTTGGACCACAATCAAATGGATGTCATCATAATAAAAGGTCCAAAATCCAATTTCCTTTTTGCCTGTGCTATCCACATCCCTGATGTACTATTAAATTCAACAGTTATAAAAACTAATGAAGGGACTGCAATTCAGAATGCAAATGATTATATACCTAAGATTAAGTGAGCTTAAACAATTAACCAGAAAATGCCTAAAAGAGAGATAAAAGAGATAACCATGGCTATTGTTATCAATAAACAATAGACATGCGAAGTAGTAACTGAGAAAATAAAATAATATTAGAGGAGCACTCTGAAGTTGGAAAGCACATGCATTTTCTCACAGATCTTACCAGCAATACTTCAAGGGAAACACGCTACTACATCAATTTCATAAATGAGGAAACTTGTGAGGAGAAAAGTTAAACTTGTAAAAGAAGACGCTAGAATTTGAGCCAAATGCTCTGCTTCATAGCACAGTGGAATAGTATCAGCTGAGAGAGTTCAATAATTCTTTACAAGTTAATTCTGATCTGCTGCTACTGCTGCTATTGTACTTAAGGGATGGGCACTCTACATGTTCAGGGAAAGGATAGGAAAATTAACATGAAGGGAACATGCTGAATATCACAATTTGCACTCAGGATATGCTGTTGTTGTTGTTAAGTGCTGTCGAGTCAATTCCAACCCATAGCAACCCTGTATAGAGTTTCCGAGGAGCAGCTGGTGAGCTTTAACTGCCGACCTTGCAGTTCAAATGGCTTTGCAGTCTGGCACATTAATCCACAGTGCCACACCAGGACTTCCAGGATATGCTAGAGATGTTATAAATTAAGATATATGAAGAAAGAAGGTCATAATCCATGGTAGTGAGCTCACAGAATTGAAGATAGAGATTGTGCTTCCTAAGGTATTTGGAAAAAAAGGAACCAGATACTATCATTGGCCTATACTAGTCTTTCTTACTCATTATGAATAGGCGAACTCAAACTCCACTTAATTTATGGACCGCTTACTATGCATCAGTCCATCCATTCACACATCCATCCATCCATCCACACATCAATCTATCCATGCATTCTTCCCTATACCAATCTTCCATTCATTGAATACATATTTATTGACTGCCTACTATGTGTCAGAGTCCTGGTGTAAACGCTTGGAAATTAAATGAGGGTCTTGATTAATGTTACCATCCTGTTGTGTTAAAAATGCAGGGAGAGGAATCTCACTACTATCAAAAAAGGTCCAGGAGTGGAACATGTTCTTTGAACTCCCAAATCCCAGCACATCAATCCTCCTTAACCCAAGGACGGAAAGCTGTGACACTGGAGGAATGGCAGAGGAGCAGAAGAAGCAGAAACAAGAGCCAGAGCATGAGAAAAGTGATGGGTTTCCCAGTGAAGCAAGTAAAGCTAAGTGACTCTGGGCAGGAG